GAGTTGCCAACATGAGTAATTCAACGTGGCTGATCAAGAGATTTCAAGTTAATAAGGTGATGTCTACAATGTAGTTTAGGTGTTAAATGATCTTAATGGATAATAAACCAAGCCTTGCACAGAACACTTAGTGAAAGGAGAAATGGAATGGATACACCATATCCGAATAAACTGACATTATATATTGAACAGCCTTCTAATGGTCACACTAGGGACACAGTATGATGAAGACCCAAACCATCCTGAATGGGAAGATGTAAGCACTGATTTCTTCTGGAGTCAAACCACACAACAAATCAAAGATGAAAATGCACAGAGAACTGTTTACCAGCAAGTCTTCTGCTTCCTAGGAATGTAGATAAGATGGACCTACCATGCAAGTTCTTCGTGGAGGTTTGTGAAATTAACTACAGTCCAAGAATAAAAAACATGGATGGTAGCAGAAAGAAGAGAAAAGGAAAAATGAGAGTCCTGCCTGAGAAGTTACAGCCTTGCCAGCCAAAACATTAGAGATTTAGAAAATTGGCTTAACCGAAGAAGCCAGACATAGATAATTTGACTGCAACTACTTCTGTGTGTGGACATTCATAACAAGCATAAAGATTTCTAAAAAGCAATAGAAATCGTGCTACATAAGAAATACAAAAGAAAGAAGTATGCATTCAAGAGCACAGCTGTGAGGGAGTATTTCAAGACACTCTTTCAATGTTTACATCTACTCTCTCAACAAGGGTAGAAATAACAATAATAATTTTAACTAAAGCTACTCTCTGCGGGGGCAGAGAGAGCTTGTCAATAAAATGAATGAGTTCCAACATTACAGAAATGCTCTTTTCACCTAGACTGACTGCCTCCAACTGTAAGATATACATAAATCCAGACCCTCTGGACATGGAAAAAAATATCTACAGGGCATATTTTGCATATCAGCATAATTTGACTGCCTGTGATTTCTCAAAAAAACAGAAATGTGAGAAACATTTTGACAGTTCAGTCTAATTCTAGAATTCTTTTGGCTATGTAGTTGCTAGTTGTGAGTGATGCACATAAAAATAATTTCCCCTAACCTAAAGGAAAAGGGGATCAGGTTTTTGGGCTTGTGGGGTTTTTTTGAGGTTTTTTGCTGTTGTTGTCTTTTGGTGGGGTATTTTTAGTTTTTGGGGGTGGGATTTTTTTGGTTTTGGGGTTTTTTGCTATGAAGTGAAATCCCTTTTGCATCACTAAACAATATAGAGCTAAAATTTATTTTATACACAGCTCTCTGTGACAGGATATTTGTGAGAGGTTGTTCAGGCAACAGATGCAGGTTTAATAAAGCTGGCATGACTTGAGGATCATTTGGAAAGATTTCTCCCATGATAACAACAACATACTAAGTATTAAAGTACAATTAATGTTGTTTCCATCCATGTAATAGGTATGGTAAGAAAAGGTCATCCTATGAACTGTTAACAGCTACTCTGAGCACAAGAGCAGCATCTTTGCAAGGCATGTGATCCTCTATCCTAACCCAGAATCACATGGCAATTTTCCTGCCCCAGGGTTCAGACCAGAATAACTCTGAAAAATTATACAAAGGCAGCTGGACTTCAGAAATCATGAATGAAAAAATAAAAGAATCATTTTCACTATTAGAAAACAACACACGCACAACATATTAAAGGTAGAAAACTGTGAGGGGAAAAAGCAAAAAGACAGGGTTTTATAAATTACTTTACAGGTGGAACTTGGTTGTTATTCTCACTTAAAATTTCCAGACCATTAAATATTTTCTGCTTTCAAACTTCTGGCATCTGACCTGGCCAGATACCGTCGCAATTTTTTGTTTCTAATCACTAATTGTCTTTTGAGACCTAGATTTAAGGTGCCAATTATCCATGACCTGCATACTTCAATGCCAAAGAGTTCAGCAACAAACTCTAGGGCAGGCTGTTCCAGCCTCTTGACAAGAGGAGATGAGTTTTTACTACTGGAACTTACTTGGGGGCCAGTTGGGAAAACCATCTTGTAGCATTATGGGAAGGTGAAAGATAACAAAAAGGCAGGACAGAACTGACTTGTGAACAACCTATGGAGAGCTCTAACACTTTAAGACCAGAGATAAAATTCTGGAAAGCAGAAGCCTTCTGGTTTTATTCTCAGATCAGTAAACAATGGGCCATGTGGAATAAAATATTGAGGATTACATGGTTGTCTACTTCTTTCCCCAGTTTACCTACAAATACAGCTGCCTGCACATACACAGCTAAATGAGTAGAGGTCTGAGTTTCCAAGATTTTCATCAGAATTCCAAAGAATCTGGAACCTCTCCATTTCTGCAAAGTAAACTGCAGTTTTAAGGAGCCTGGTCACATCTCGAGGTTTGCTCGTGTACCTCATGGGGACCTTGTGAGAATTACTAGCTGGGAGTAGGAGTTCATACAGCAAGGTATTCAGCATGGCTCACAGCCCATCCATTTCTACTCCTATAATCATGAGTAACAGAGCTGAACCTTAGAGACACTTTTTTACTTGGTAGAAAAGGCAGAGCAGAGCATAAGCTAGGGACTGAGAAAGGCATGCTGCAGAAGTATCTTCTCTTACCTCTTGCAATATTCTGTATACAAAGAAACTGCCTCAGAAGCATCTTTTCAACTCCCTCCTATTTGCTTATTTATTAAACTCACATTTATCTTATTTTCAAGGGGACAACAGAAGAGTTTGATTTTTTTAGGCCAGTCTCATCTCCAGCCTCCACATCTTATACCCTGTCATTTTGGAAAGACACCCTTTTTTTTTTCCCATCCAGTTGGCAAGCAGTTTGAGTCCTGCACTGATTGGTAGAAACTTAAGGCAAATTTCCTAGGATTTTTCTCTTTCCACTCTGCACTGCCCAGCTCTGCCAGGTTTCATTCACCCCACCTACATTTGGGAGGGCTGCCTTACACATTACCAAAAGCAGCTCCACACCAGCCTATATTATAACACTGGTCTGGATCTCCATCATCTTTTGGGCAATACTGATTGCCCAGACAGATCTGCTTCAGGTAAAATGCTAATACAATTCTTGCCAAAAAGACATCTCCCTGCTTTTTTCCAAATTAGCAAAAAGGCATAAAAAATACTGATGTTTTATGTTTTCCGGGAATATTCTCACACTCTTTCTAGGAATAAGCAAGGACATCTCTTTGCCCTCCCATTATTACACATGCGCACAGTTATAAGAAAATGCTCTGAAGGGACATCAAGCAAATAATACCAATTTTCAAAATTCTATAACAATATATTTATACAAATTACAGAATTCTGTATGTATTTACACACCATTACAGAATACCAAGTAAAAATAACACCAATCGTTCTTTTCTTTTTCCCTCAGATTTTTCTTCAAGTCAATTTTAGAGCTCGAGAAAGGTGCCAGATGGGCAGCACTAGAAGGTGAAGACTTCAGTTTGTCCACAGCACAGGAGGAGAGGCACTGCAAGCCTCCCTGCTTTGCCGTGTCAGCTCTCTGCAGCCCTGATTTAGCAGGATCACATAAGGAGCAGGAGGGTGTCCGTGCCCCTTCACACCTTCCTGGCAAAGGAGCTGAGCAGCACCCAGGTGACAATGGCTTTGTCCATCCCCCACCCAAAACCAAAGAGAAACAGCTCATTTCACACAAGGGACTGAACAGAATCGGTGGTTCACTACCCGAAACAGGCCAAATTTGACCCAGTGAACCTGCAGGGAGTGGCAAACTGCCAGCTCCTGGGCCTTCCAGTCTTGCAGTAATGCCTAAGTTAAATTACATGTTTCTATATTTACATAAAGTCAGTATTTACACACCATTACGGGTTATTCGAGTAAATCGGTTACAGTTTATTTAGAAGGACTGCCATAAACTCATAACATTTTTCTCGAGTTTAATCCTTTCTGTAGAAAAATACAAAAAAAAAATAAATTAAATAAAACATGTCAACTAGTAGTAATGATTAGCCTATGACTAAAAAAATCCAAGTCAATTTAACATTAAGACTTTAACTGTGGCCTAATATTGCGGCCTTGACTCAGAGTCATTTTAACCTTTGCAGATAATTTCCTGGTGTATGTCAGATTTACTGAAACAACAGAGAGTTGCAACCTCCCTTCCTCGTGGTGGGCTTGATGCATTTACCATGGAGCAGTGAGCCCTGGTCCTGCCCAGGAGCGCCTTTTCTTCTCCTACAGTCTCGGCATGGCCCACACGAACGATCCGGCACCCGACCGACCCACAGCAGCCAAACCATCTGAGCCCCAAAGGCTGGGACACAAACGTGTGGGCTGCAGCTGAAGGCTGTAAATTCCCTGGCAATAACAGGCCCTAGACAAGTTCTCTACAAATCAACTAATGTAATTTACGCCTCTTTATCATCCATGAACAGCTACAACAAAACGCCATGTTGTGTTTGAGATCACTGATATCGCCGGTTGAGACATGGCTCCTCCTACCTGCTTCAGCACGGTCAGGGAACGTTTATTCAGCACACTGACCCAGAGGTCATTCCAGAACAGAAATAAGTTTCAAACCATATAAATCAGATGGACAAGGGTGCTGTAGAGCAAAAGTTTCTTAATTACAAGTAGGCTACAACCTTTTACATCACTCCTCCAAAGGAGCCCCCGTGCGTACGCAGACAGCCAGGGTGTCAGGACCAGCCCTGCTCCCAACATATCCAATGGTGAAGGCTACACTCAACTTAATGGCACTGATTGAAATCCTAAGGGATGAAACAACTACAAAATGCATTTGTCATATGGATCCTAACATGGTTTTCATCTCTGTTTTTTCATTTTTCCCCTTTTCTTCAGAGTATTAGGGGGGAAAATGCCTCTTCCTGAGGGTTAATTTCCAAATGGTAACTGCTAATCAACGTTTCCATGTGCTTATCTTAAAATGCTACATACCCTTAAATATTATATACTGTCTCCTCACTTAGGGTTCATGAATATTTGAACATACTTTAGGAAAAACAATAAAAATAAGTCTAATACTGTCCCCCTCATTGTCATTATTGATAGAGATTTATTAGTTTCATTTTGCAAGTTTTACTTTAGGAAGGGTGCTAATATCATGTATTATGACAGTTCACACTGAAAGCAGTTTTCCATAAAAGGTATTACAATGACCCCTATGGAACTTGTATAATTTCATAGTAGATAGTCAAGTGCACAAATAAACATGTTTACAAGAGTGATCCTGTTAACCTGGTTCTTGCCCTCTGAAATATTTATGTGTTCTTTGTGGAAACTTAAAATTAGTATAATTGTTGTTGGTATTACTTATGTTGTTCCTGGCATTCTCTTTAGGAAAAAAAAATAGCATATTTATCATTTAGCTTTGGTATAATCTGCAATAGGTTTTAACAAGTAGAATATATTCCAACCCCTATATTTTCCACAGCTGTGAAATTTACAATGATGTAAGAAGTCACTTTATCAGAGAGGAAATATTACAGACACATAAAAAAAAGTTGAAGACCCAGTTTTCTCTTTAATCCTCTGGGGTAAGCTACGAAACAAGCAGTCAGAAGAGTGAGGACTCAGTGTCATGAGTGGTGTGCATACTTGTACAATAATACGGGCACAAAAGAGATTGTCGCCTTTAGTACATGAGGGTCACTAGAATTTATTATTGTCATTACCTTTTTATTGTTGGCTTTTTTTTTTTTATCCATGCACCTTTATATTTACTTGCATGAATTTACCACAGGTTCATAGTGGCCTTTGCCATTTCAATGCTTACAGAGCCTAAAGCTTCCAAAATGCCTATCTGGCCTGTACATATTTCATTAAAAATAAACTCTATATAATAAATAAATATATAAAATAAATAAAATGTTGCCTTTGGAATTTCTATAAATAAATTTAACTTTTTATTTTTATTTTTTTTACTAAGAGGTCTTTGCTTTAAACTCAGTGGGGTGAGACCCAGAGAGCAATTAACTGAAAAGTCTCTTGTTTAAGTAAGACTGCACCCTCCATGCCTTTGTAAATGCAGCGTACACTTGAGCAGGCCACCAGCCAAAAATCCTGATGAATCGAAGTATGGCAGCTATGCTGATATATGACGAAGTACAACTGATCAAAAATTTAAAAGCGTGTCTATTCCCCAGCATGCATCAGGCCTTCCTCCTCCTCCTCACCCTCCTCCTCCCCTCGGCTCCTCTCTCTCGCGCTCTCACTCCCATTCATCCTCTCCCTTCCTCTCTCTCTCTCACTCACTCTCTCGCGCTCCCTCTCGTACTAAATCAAGCGAGTGGGCATAGGCTCTCCTCCAGGAGGACAAACCTTTAAGTGCAGAACAAAATCAGCATGTTCCATCCAAGCCTCCATCATACATTATGCATGCGACAAAGTTTGGCAACAGTGGAGCTGATGTGATGACACAGCTAATCAATAAGAACCCACCGCATGAAACCTTTATAGTGGTTACTTTTTAAGGGCTCAAGTGAAGGAATTGTCTTTGTCAACTTTGGCTTAAAATATCCTTATATAGTTCTGGTACTTTCTCAGGGTCCACCGGTCTAGGTAAAAAATGTGTAAATTTTTGATGCCGTTTAGTCCTAGTCCCTTCTCTTGGAGTCCCATCTTTATTTAACGCAACGTAGTATCGTCTTCCAGTGTCCACATGTTTATATAGATTTGATGAATATGTGTTATACCAGTTTTCTTCAAATTGCTCTCTGAATACACACTCCTGGGTTAATTTTTCCTGTGGAAAGAAAAGAAAGAGCAGTTAAGGAGACAGCCACTAAAATAAGTTACTTGTAAAAGAATCACTATTTTAATGGCTTGAAGCTGGTATCTCCTCGATAAATTGCAGAATAAACTATTTCAGTTCTCCCAGTTTTAGCTATGAAGATCTGTATTGCTGAGTGTTTCAGGAGGCAGTCAGAAGGGTGGATAATTCCATGTGAAGCAAAAATGACTCTCAAAGCCTCACTACCCAAATCAATACTGTAACAACAAAGATGAAAACAGATACTTTCCATTTCTGAGAGCTCCCAAGCAGCTCACAAGACCTTACTGGACTTCTGTAACAAATTGTTTCAATGGTGAGTGCAGGCATTCAAACAAACAGATATAAATAAAAGAAATTAGAACCAGTTTGCAAGGCTGCAATAAAATTTACAGTCTTAAAATCTCTAAGTCGTTTCAACGCATGGAGAACTTGGTGCATTTCATTAATTTAAAGACATGCAATTTGCTAGCCTTCATTTGATTTATTGTTTGTATCATGAAGCCACAACCCAACAGAGCTTCAAGCAGGAACATGAACCCTGTGTGCTGAGATGAAGCAGGCAAGGAAAAGCCCTCCAGGTTTGCATTGTCAGGGTTGTCCTTGTGTCCCATCTTACTGAGGACAGGACCCACTGAGGATATCAACCATTCATCAGATCCCCCTGCCACCACAGAATCCCACTCCTTCCAGTTGACCCACTTCTTCTCCCACTTCTTCTGTGTGTGTGTTGCCTTCCACATCCTTAAGATTGCTTAAATTTGTTTTTTAAAAAATTGCTTAGTAGAGTGCTTAAAACACAGCCACCTGATAACCAGACTCATTTTAGAAAGGATGCACACAAGTAACTGGGGAAAAAGGTGGTGAGCATGGGAGAGCTGATGGAAAGCTGGGAAAAATAAGCCTGAAAATAGTCTTTTCACCAGGCACAAGAAAAAAATAGTGATAATTCAATGTATTTTTTGCAACAAATTCTCATTTCAATAACACATCAACCACACCCAGATTCCAGCTGAGGATCAATTTCTAATTATTACAAGGTTCCATACGATGCATGTGTTTTACAGACATTAAATCTTCAAACAGTTCTTTTAGACTGGAGCATGGAGATGGGAAAACAGAGACCAAGGCCCAGATGCAGCAATGTGGGGCATCTAGGCCATAAACTTGTGCCTGCACACAACTAAGGAGCCACAGCTCAAGCACCCCTAAAAACCAGCTTCCATGACTTTACCAAGGAATTTCCCAAGGTTCACCACCACCAAACTTTTCCTGAAGCTGCAGGTGCCTTTGGGGCCACCTCTGCTGCCTGAGACTCAGCTCACAGCCCTTTCCCAGGCCAATGTGCTTTGGCCCAGATGTTTCACTGCTGCTGTGTGTGGCAAGCACTCTGCTCCCAGGGCAGCCCACTTGGGCTGGGGACAAGAGAGGCCCAAGGAGCCCTAGACACCTTACAGAAGCCACCCAGGAAGTGTCTCTTGTGGGGGAAACAACCCCGTGCAAATGGGGAAAGGAAGGCAACACCCCTCTGCACCTGTACAAACAGGGTGTTGAGCTGCAAAGACAGAGTCCTCCTCAGGCCCTCCCAAACACCTGAAGGTATGGAATTTGGAGGGTTCTTCTGAATTAAATTTGTGACAACTCCAGTAGGCAAGAAAGGCAGCAAGTAAGCTGTTCTTGACTTCCCATTTAATGGGTACCTCATTACAGCTCAGAAAGTAGAAATCCCAGACAGGACCCAGTTTCACATGTTCAACACCTGAAAATTCACTGTGGCAGTGACCATATCCCTTTGTGGATGTGACAATTTTTTTTAGAGTAATTCTTGACTTTGACATTTTTAGTTCAATTTTTTTTTTTAGCTTGATTTTTTTTACTTCAAACAGAGCAATAGTCTACAATGGTTATAGGCAAAAGAAGCATAAATCTGTTCTCATTAAACCCTTATCTGTGGGCCATAGCCTGCAACCTCCTATTGATAATTGCCTCTATGTCCTTTGCCAGCTTGAAACCGCAGCCGCATTGAGCATCACCAGACCAGCAGCAGCTGCCAGTTACACCCATTGCAGTATTCCCCTTGCACAGCCTCAAAAGTACAAACTATTACAAAAGGTAATCTGCTGCAGAGGGGATTATCTTTAAGTATAGATTTCATTAGTGTTTTATTTTGCATGAGGTTTAAAATCATCTCTGTTTGTCCTAAGGCAGATTCAGATGCTAAGGGGTATTATATACTGGACTTATATAAGTCCGTGGGGAAAGAAAAACTAATTCAAATTGTTTTCCTGCTCTCAGAAGGCAATAGGATCACATGACAAGCACTGCAGAAGAACTCCCTGCTAAAAATAGCAGCATTTTAGGAAGATATTTCAGTCCTGTCGTGAATTCATTAATTATTCACTTCATCTGCAGTTTTTTTTAGCATCATCATAAATTTCTATCTTTGCAAGAACTACTTCCCCATGCCCTGAAGGAGAAATTTTAAAATAGCCTCTCTTTATCTGGCAGGTTTGATGGATCATGACAGTGCTGTGGTACACGTAACTAGCAGACCCTGAATCAGGAGGTTTGCATTGTACTGCACTCTGGATGAGTTAAATGGATTTCAAGCTCACAAATTCAATCTTCATTTTACAAGCTTATCCTATTTTAACTTTCTATTCACTTACAAGACAGCTACATCTCTTTTGTCCTTCAAAATTCTCAGAAATTCATGTGCAAACATGAGGCAAATACTTCAACATGAACATAACAGAGCAATCAGAATGTGGAAATAGATAGGTAGGGACATTAACAATTACCCTTTAAAAGAAATGAAATCATTTCTTTATACAGTCAAGCCTTTTCCTTCTAGGAGACTTTGAAATTCTGGTTGTGGTCAGACACCATTGGAGTAAATCAGTGTTGACAACTTTGGATCAGATCCTGTAAGTAACGTGGCACACTGAAATCCCATAATATCCTTCTTCCCATGCCCTAGGAGAGTCTTACAATGATGTCTCATCCAGTACCAAGAGAGACAGAAATCAACATCCACCAGAACTGTCATTTATGCAGAATCACAGAATCCTTTGGTCTGGAAAGGACCTTTAAGATCCCAGAGTCTGACCATTAACCTAACCCTGATGAGCCCACCTCTAAACCATGTACCATCACAGCCCTACATAACATTAATACCTTATGCTCACATTTTAAGTATGCATGTCTTTATTCCAGCCAGAAATGAGCATAACACAGAGGTGAGGCTGGTCCATCCTGCCAACATCACCCTCTTGTCTCACCATCTTAGGAAGGGAAAGTCTTGCTGAAAACCAACTCTCCCAGTATGGAAAGGATATGGTGTTTCCTGATCACATTTCTCCTTCTGGCTATGACTTTTAGAAAGTCCCTCTATGCACTTTTGAAGAGCAAGATTTAGCCCTACAATACAGCAATTTTTGCATACCTTTATTCCAGCAACTGACTTCTCTATCAATTTTCCAGTGCAAATATTTCCTTGCACCATACTTAAAGTTGCTGGACATCTTTGTCGAAAGCTGACACAAATACCAAACATACCCAACTGGAACAGCTATGGAAAGTAACCTGCATTCCTGTGAAAGGGGAGGCTGCCTGCCTTGCTCAAATCATTTAATTCAGGGCCAAATAAGGAGGTGACCTCAAAATTATATAAATCAGATGTTGCACCACATTCCACATGTTTTCTGTGAGAGCTGTTCACAGAGTATTCAACTACAAAGTGATTGATTTTCATTTTGCTACATTTCCATGCTTCACCTGTTTGGTTTTTTAACCTGTTGCTTAACTCAGAATGTGCAAATAATCACATTGTACAAAGATGCACATATTACAAAGACAAAACTCCAAGAAATATTTAATTCAGAAAACTGCTAATGGCTGGTCAGTGTTAGCAAGCTCAGGACCCTTTTCCCTTTTTATATTCTCCACCACCTAACAAGGAAAGAAAATAATTATGTTATCCTGTTTCCAGGCAGATTGATTAAAAGTCAGATTCTAAAGTAATGAAGTGCATGTTTACAGGCAACAAAATGAAAGTTCTGCTAGCTTGTTTTAAAATAGCTATCCATGTGAAATAGTTAATTGCAAATAAGTAGAAACACGTAAAACACATGTACACTGCTCAGGGAATGGTTCCATGACTCTAAAGAATGTAAGACATTTGTTATGCTTGGTACTTGAAAGAACAGTACAGGGTCCTGTATAAAACACATCAATACTCTTTCTTTCTTCTTTCTTATAAATAATTCTATGGAGCTAAAACTTCTATTTATTTTGTAACCTGACAAAAGAAAGCCTCTTCAGACCATCATTCCTAAAATCACAGCAAGTACCTTTCATGCCAAGCAAACTACTCTGTTCTATGCCATGTGTAGTTTTCCCTTTTGCAAACTGCTACACTGATTCAGCAGAGACAAGAAAACACCTAATCCAGAAGTTCAAACAACTACTAACAAGAAATACATCTGATGTAGTCAACACTTCCTGTATACCTGCTGCACACTAACACCTTGTTAATCCACCCTGTCTTAATAAAAGTCATGTTTATATGTATAATCTCCTGAGTAATTTCATGCAAATCCCTCATTATGGCTACATGGCATTACTGAAACCTGCATGTGTAGTGAAGGGAAACAAAGGAAAGCCCTGTTCTCCTCTGAAGCAGTTTGCTTTGCTGCTCTGCCTACCAACACACACATTGGCCCTTCCCATGCTGTAATGCAAACAGCCTCTAGAACACACTATATTCAGCTAATAATTAACGCTCATCCAGAGCTGTCATAAATAAAGGTCTAGCTTAGCATTTGCTGTGGCATTTTCTGTACTCTCATGCTAAGCCTGTTCGTTTCTGGCTGGATGAACCACCCCCAGCCACAATGAGAAGCCAAATACCAGTGTCCAAGCAGCACCACTTTCTTTTCCAAATTAGACCACAGTGTGAGTCAAGCCCTGCA